GTGATGGAGCTTCTCGACCGCTCTGTTCCCGACGAGATCAAGAGCGGCGGATCTTCGTGGTACTACTCCCTTCGCGGGGACGGCACGCGCTTTGTACAGCTCGGAGACATGTTCAGTGGTCTGTCGGTGTCGCTTCAGATGCACAAGAAGAACTACGTGCACGAGATCGTTCGCAAGCCCCAGCTCCGCGACTACATCAACGCCCGCAACGAGAGCGGCGCGCGCTCCTGGAAGGACGACGATTTCCTGCAGATGCGCCTAAGGAGCCGAGACGCCCAAATTGAAACGGGGACCTACAGCCTGAATGACCGACCCAGTGGGGAGAATCAGCACGGATATGCAAGAGAAACGCGCCCAAAGTTCTGTTGCTCAACAGGGCCTCAAAACGTGTTGCGAAGCATCGTCCGAAGAAGCAGGCACTGAGACAGGCCCAGGGCCCACTCTCCAGAGGCCCGGCAAGAACCCCACATCCAGACACGAACCGCAGACTTTTGTCGTCGGCGGCGAGGCGGCGAGCTCTGCTCCAGCGAGAAGCGAGGCAGGGGCACCGACTAGCGGATTGGCCGGCGGGCAAAGAGAGAGGGGGTGGGCGGCCGAGAGGAAGAAGGGACGCTCAGACGCCGAGACGTTCGGCGATGAGCAGGCGGGGGGGGGCAGCAGCAGCCAGGCCCGCAGGGCCAGAGCGCGGTGGGCGGCCGTGGCGAACCACGGCGGGCACCAGCACAACGGGCACACGCCTGAGGGCCGAGGGCAAGACTGAGCAGCCCGAGGGGGGGCCTCACCAAGGGAGCGCGGGCCAGGATCCCGAAGCAGAGCCGGCCGCGACAGCGAGAGGGCCCCCCGGGGGCCCCCAAAAGGACGGGGGAACGCCCTCGATCCTCGTCGGGCGGGGCTAGGACGGGGACAAATCTTTCCAGAGCGTTCTGGAGGGCTCCCACTGCTTACCAGAGCGCTCTGGAACGGCCGCAGCACCCGATCACTGCACCCTTCAGAAAAGGTGGATCCCAGAGATCCCCGATTTGTCCCGGTCTGATGTTGTCTCAGTTCTGATATTTTCGTACTGTGTGGGCCCATGTCAGGAAACACCCTGCTCGCCTCCAGTGTGCCCTGGGTTTGCTGGGTTTCGATGGTTTTGCTGTGGAAAGCGTGACGTTCCCACGCCGGGGCTCCGTGGGCACCCTGGGGTCTCAGGATTGGGTTTCTTCTGGGAGGTCTCTTGTGGTCGGGCTCCTACTGCACCTCGAGGGTCGAGGGCAGAGGTCAGCAGCCCCGAGGAAGTACCGCGCGAAGATGGAGGAGCTGGCGCCCGGCAAGCTGGGGCACGACGAGCTGCTCGAGCCCACGGCCATCGGGCTGCGGCCACAGGAGCGCCGAGGGTCCTCGTCTTCGCCGTCGACAGTTTCCAACAATGCCAAAAGGTATTCAATGTTTTCGGCGGTCTTCAATCTGTTTCGGACGACGACGACGACGACGATCAAGGATCGCGACTCGAAGAAAGTGAAGGAGGCAGGAGACAGATACGAGGAGGAGGAGGAGGAGGAGGAGGAAAGAGGAGGGAGGAGGGAGGAGGGAGGAGGGAGGACGAGGAACAGCATAGATCTCCCGTCCACTCCTCATCCCTCATTCTCCCAACCCCCCTCCTTCTCCCCTCTGCCATCGAGTGGCGGATCTCCCGCTTGGCGCCTCAGGAGCAGCCGCAGCCCAGCGTCGTTGCGCCCCTGGCGACCCCTGGCCCTGTCGAGTGCAGCGCGCCACCGCCGCTCGACTGCTTCAGCCCGCTCGTACAGGCTGCTGGGACAGCCTGGGACCCCCCTCTCAATTTCCTTCCCGTTCCCTCCTCCTTCCTGCCCATCCCCACCCCCCAGTGCCAATTTTGATCCGATCGAACCGATTCGGTGTCGATGCCAGCCGGCCCGATCCACTTCGACGCCGATGTTCCGACGATCCGATGCGGCCCGATGGTTGCATGGAGCTGTTGTGAATCATCGCGCAGCCGATCCAATTCGATTCCGAACCCGTGCCGATGCAGCCCGATCCGATGCACATTTCGATTCGATCGGACTTCCCGATCCGATGCTGAGTGATCCTGCTGTATTCCCTCCCCTCCCTCCCCTCAGGGACACCCTCCCCCGAATCCGAGGCCGACTCACGGTCGGGTGCTTTTGGATAGCGCGTTGCTCCGCCGGTTCTGGCCAACCACGCCTGGGGGCGACACGCTGGACACTTCCTGGTCACCTTGCGTTGTGGAGGACGATCAATGGAGAGGAAGCATGTTGCCAAATAATGTTCAGAAGTCGTACACATGTGATACCTATGGCTCAATCCTGCTTTTGAGCATGCGCAAGCATGCTCAAAGCACAGTAAACCTTTTTTAAAGCATTTTGAACACATGTTTAGCTCCAAGGACAGGACTGTTAGGGCGTCCGTTGTCATGGCATCCGCAGCCCACCCTTGCGATCACGCTCCGAGTCTCTCCGAACCCGCCGCCCCGCGGAGCGGAGCGACGCGCGAGCGATCCGCTCGCAGGGCACGGCACGTGTCGCCAGGGCCGCCGCTGCGACACGCTGAAAGCAACGGTTCCTGACCGCACCCGCCCTCCCCGCGACGACCCCCCCCCCGAATCCGAGGCCGACTTGGCCTCGAATCCGGCACGTCCCTCTACGGGAGGAGTATCCACGGACGGTATAAAAAGAGTGTGAGGGCGATTTGTTTGATTATTCGTTGGATATGTTTGGGCATGTGTTTGCACATTTTTTATACAAAACATCGTTCAACATCGGCCTGTAGGGGGACACGCCCGACCTAAACTTAGCCATCCTGGGGAAAGCATGGGGCAGGGGAGACCTGCAGCCAACTCCCTCTGCCAGGTCTGCCCAGCTGGGTATTTCTAGCGTGCTGTGGCGGATGCCTCTGCGATGTGCCCCCCCCCGGAGAGACGAACCTCGTCAAAACCATCTGGGCGATGCAGACAAACGGGGAGGCGGGGGGGGGGGACGGGAGGGGCGGGGCGATGGATGAGGAGGGGAGGGGAAGCGATCGGGGAGGGGGGGGGCGGGCATGGTCCGGTGGTGCGCCACCTCCTGCGAGAAGGTTGCCGGGAAGCAAGCGCTCGAGAGCGGCCCGCACCTGCAGCTCCTGCCCAGCAGGCTGCAGTTCCGCGCCGGCGTTGGGGAGCGCGTCTCCCGGGACATCGCCCTCGAGCTCAGGGGCCATCGATCGCTCCTCCTGATCCTCCTCCTCCTCTTCTTCCTCATCCTCCTCCTCCTCCTCTTCCTCTCTACGCTCGTTTCCTCCTCCTCCTCCTCCATCCTCCTCCTCCTCCTCCTCCATCCTCCTCCTCCTCCTCCACCTCCTCCTCCTCCTCCTCCCTCATCCTCTTCCTCCTGCTCCTCTTCCTCCGTAGCCACTTTGGCACAAGATGCCTTCGTCCGTCGGGCAGAGGACGGATACCTCGGGTCCGAGGCTAGATCCGGAGAGTTTTGTGAACTTTCGGTGTCGCACTATTTAGCAATATGTATTCGACCGTGCCAGCATCAGCGCGCGCGGGTAATCTAAGGTTTTTCCAGTTCCTTCTCCAACGCACTTGACATCCCGCAGCGGTGGCAGCCAGGACGCTCGTCGTGGGAGGTTCCAGAACTTCCGACAGTGTCAAAATCGTGGACACCGCCGTGGAGGCAACAAGGCGGAGAGGATGGGACCTGATGGTGTTCGGCGCCCACCTCGTGCTCCAGCGTGTGCGCTCCGTCGTGAATATGATCCTGGCTCTGAGAGTCCTGGGGCGCCCGCGGGTGTACCGGTCATCCGCACGAGCCTGAAGGCAAAATATTGGCAGAAAATGAGCTCATGCCGACACTCCCTGGCGGTGAACAGTGTGGTGGCACGTGCACCCCAGGAGGCGACCCTTGGGCGCAGGCGACATCCCAACGTCCGCGCCGTGTTGCTCCTTCTGATGCTCCTGCTGCACCTCCTGCCTTTGACATCGGCGACGATGATGATCGGTAGGCGGAGTTCTTCAAACATTCCACCATGCGGACATCACCGCACGTTTCAAAGCTCTTCGAGATGAGTTTGATTGTATGGTCACGTCGGCGATTGCTTCCTCCATGCGTGCCATCAGTGAGCCGATGTTCGAGTCCATCGACATCCTCAGGAAGCAGACCGTTGGGCAGTCCTACGGCCTTGACCAACGCGTGCTCAGCGCGATGCGCCCTCAGTTGGACGCGATGCAGCGGCGACCCCAGCAACCCCTCCATATGCTCTCTCACTGCGAGTAGAAGATGTGGAGAACTCGCTTGCCTTGCATGAGAAACACTTCTTCGAGCTGCACGATGAGCTCGCGCAGATGCGCAAACAGGTGGCCCTCGACAGCGAGACCCCCCGAAACCCTTCGTCGCCCCTGGGCTTGACCGCGAGGTGGATCCTACGCGGGTGGTGGTGGTGGTTACATAAACGGTTGGGCTTGCTCGGGTCAAGGAGGAGCTTGGCTCCTTCCTAGCTGAGCTCGGCAACTCCGCTGATGACTACGAGCTCTGTGCACTCACCCCTTTGCAATCGAAGAACTTCTCGCCCTCTTTCCGTGGCGGCGCGGGCAAAGCTACTCGGCGAGTCCAGAAGGTGCTCTCCAGCCAGCGACGCGGCGGCCAGCGGAGCGACGGCGCCGATCCAGCCAGGCCCCATCTGGGGCCGAATAAGAGCCCCGAGCAGATTCGCGCCGAGATCTGCCCGCGCAAGATGCGTTCTGCTCTCAGCGACTCCCGTGCGCGACGCCTTCGGTTCATCGACAGAGAGCGCGGCACCCTCGACGCCGATTTCACTGACGCGTTCCAAGTGAAAGCCCAGCCTGGAGACGCACCGCCAACTTTTATTTGGAACGATGTAGGGGTCCAGGCGCCTGGGCTCGATGGGTGCGGCCTCTCTGAGAGCGCGCGAGCGCTCGCGGCGCCCCTCCCCCCCCCTCCCCCATCGGACCAGGTGGTGTCGTTGACGCGTTCGCTGCCCTCTTCCAGCTGCCAGCTGAGGACGGCGGTGAAGATCTGCAGTTCGTTTCTTGGAATGCCCGCGCCTCATTGCAGCATTGTGGCGAGGCGCTTCAAAGCCCGCTTATTCCCGGAGGTGTACATTTGGGCGAAGCATCATTGGACATCATGGAGTTAATCGAGATCGGCCACAGCTGCTAGACTGCGTCAGCAAAGTCTACTCGGACGCGATTGTTCAAACAGTTTTTACGATCACGGGGATCGAGCTACTGGAGGAGTTGCGATCGCCCCCCCGTCCGTCTCCTCTTCTAGGGCTTCCAGCCGCGCCCAGACTCTCGCCGCTGGGCGCGCTCTATTTGTTGATGTAGTAGTACAGGGCGATGTTCAGCCTGTCATTTCAATATCCAAAATCGCGGGTTGCCCAAGCGCGCGTTCTCGAGCGTCTGCGGGTAGATGCGCGTTGCCCGCGACTTGGCTCGATTATGTCCTCTCCCTTTCTTCGTCGTTGCCACGGTGCGCGTGAGATGCGGCGTCGACGAGTCCTCGATCCCCCGCTGGCCCGTGACGGCTGGAACGCAGCGCATTCGCGACCGCGGGGTTCATGCGTTCGCGTGGGCACATGTGCTGAGCGGCATGATGGAGGCGTGCTCCGGCGTGCCCGCCCATTGCTTCTGCCGCGCCAATTCGGTGAGCGGCGTCGGCCGCTTCTCCTGCCCAGCAGGTAGAGTGGCGATTTGCCGGCTGTTGGCGACTGCTCGCACGATTGACTCTCCCAGGGTGCCCGCGAACAGGATGGCATCTGATCGCGCTGGCTGGGCAGGCCCGGAGATGCGGCACGCGCTATTTTAAATGTAGAGAAACAGCGCACGCCATTGGATGCATCATACAGAGCGGGCGCAAGCACACCCGCTTCCATCATAGTAATAGGACGACGCCAGGAACGGAAGCTCTATCACCGAAGCGCCGGGAAAAGCCTGCGCCATCATGTAGAAGCAGCATTGGCCGCTGCGCATGCCATCTGCGACCTTGTTTATCTATCCCCGCCGCGCAGTGCCACTCGTCGCACCTCGAGAGGACTTCTGGCCGGCCGAAATTCACCCGCGGCTGCGCGAGAGGCGCCTGCTCCGGCAAACTTGTCACGAGTGCGCGGGCAATGTCAAGGCGGTTTCCACTCGGGTGGTTGCGCGGAAACCGCTGCCGCCGAATGCGAAATGGGAGTGGTCGCCCCGCTAGATGCGCTTGCGCGCGAGAGCGCGTTGCGGCGCCTCTGCGGAGCAGCGTCGCGCTGCCGTTAGTCTTACACAAATAGCGACGAGCGCGCGCGGGTCATGAACTATACGTGCTCGCACAAGCCACGTAAACGACGTTCCAACACCGCGCGCGTTGTTCCTCGTGGCGCAACGCTGCGCCGCGCAGTGCGGTTTCGCGGGGGGCTGCGAGGCATCGCTGCCCAAGTCTGAATCCGCTTTTTGCCGTTGTGCGCCGCGCGGCGCTGCGTGGCTTCTCGCTGCGCGTCGCAGTCAAACTGCACTTGGCGTACACTTGCGCTACGCTTGAACTACACTTGAGCCGCGCTTGCATTGTGCTTGAGCCACGCCTGAAACACGCTTGAACTACGATTGAACTACGCTTGCATTACAAGGCTTGCGCTTGCCGGCACTAGGGAACACATGCACTGCACTTGAACTACACTTGAACTGCACTTGAAGCACACTTGAACTACACTCCAAACGCATGGGATACAACCGAGCCACACACCAACTATAGTGGACATACAGTTGAACTACACTTGCACTACACCTGAACTGCACTTGAACTACACTTGGCTTACACCTGAACTAGACTTGAGCTACGCATGTGTTATGTGTGATTTACAATCGAAAAGAAAAAAAACAATGATTCCGCCGGAACCACACTTGCACTGCACCAGCACTACACATGAACTATACTTGACTACAGTGGATATACACGTTCACTGACAGGGCTACACCAATACCATACTTGAACTACACTTGAACTACACCTGAATTACATTTGAATACAATTTCAAAGTACACTTGAACTAGATTTGATTTACGATTGAACAACCCTTGAACTAGACTTGGGCTGCACTTGAATTACAATGTTTACACCTGAGCCGCCCTTGTAGCACAACAGAACAGGGCCTCACTTGAAGCGCACCTGAATGATACTTGAATTACACATGGACAAGGCGTCAAGTAGGTTGGTACGATACTTGCATTAGAGGGGCGACACCTGGACCCCACTTGGATTACACTTGAACTACACTTGAACTACATGTGCAATACGTGTCAACTACTCTTGCACTACACTTGAACTTACGACTACTACTACCATTACGGCTACGACTACGACTACTCTTACTATGACGGCGACGACTATTATTACTACGACTACTACTTGTACGATTACTACGACTACCACTACCACTACAACTGTTACGACCAGTACTACTACTATTACTACTACGATTATTACCACCACTACTACTATTACGACTACTACTATGATTAATAAGAACAAGAATCTGCATGCTACTACTACTACTACTACGACGACTACGACGACTACCACTACTATTACTACTACTACTACTACTACTACTACTACTACTACTACGACTACGATTACTACTACTACTACTACTACTACTACTACCACTACTATTATTACTCCTACTACTATTCTTACGGCTACTCTTACTACTACTACAACTACAACTACTACTACTACTACTACTACTACTACTACTACTACTACTACTAGTACTTCTACTACTACTACTACCACTACCACTAGCACTGCTACTGCTACTACTACTACTACTACGACTACTACCACGACTACCACCACCACTACTACTACTACTACCACTATTTTTTACCATTACCACTACCACAACTATTACTACTAGTCCTACTACTACTACTACTACTACTACTACTACTACTACTACTACTACTACTATTGCTAGTTTTACGGCTACTACTACTACTACTACTGCTACTACTCCTACTACTACTACTACGACCAACACTACTACGACTACTACTACTACTACCACCACCGCCACCACCACCACCACTACTACGACTACTACTACTACTACTACTACTACTACTACTGTTACGACTATTACTACTTCGATTTACACTACTACTACTACTACTACTACTATTACTACTACTACTACTA